GACTGATCTATTATATGGGTTTCAACACGATTTTCAGTATGACATTTCTAGAAAGAGGTAGACAACCCATTTATATTTTTCTTTATAGTATGTTGTCATAGTATTCTATTTTAGCATGTAATTATCATAATGCTTTCAATCATTTACTCTGCCTAATAAGATGTATAATGAAGGGCTGGAGTTATAGTTCAGCTTTCACAGAAGACCTGGCTCAATTCTTTGTACCCACACGGTAGCACATAACTATCTGTTATAATAATTCCAATTCCATGGGATCCAAGACCCTTGTCTGGCACCAGGCACACATGAAGTGCACAGGCATATATTCGATCAATGACTGAATATTAAGTATCCACCCCAAAAGGCTGGATTGACAGCAGATGGCACTGGCTCATGAAGTTTCTAATGTCATACATGGTTTGGTCTATTGAGAGCCTTTTGGTCTATTGAGAGCCTTTCGGCTATTGGCCAGACCTTACTCTGGTCCACTCATGAGTTCACTGCTGAATGGTAGCAACCCCAAGTTGGAAGTAATGTTTTTGTTTTGTTAGATGGGTTAAAGTTGAGGCCAGAACTAGATTTCTCTGATCAACTAAAAGATGCTAGAGACAGAGGGGGAAATAAAAAAACAGAATTTCAAATGTAAGTCTAAAGGTTTCTTAAAAAGAACAGAAAAGAGAGTATATGTATGTATGTATATATGCACACACAAATATAAACATACATGCACATGCATATATGTGTGTAGTGTTCTCTGAGGTATAAAGTTGACAAACTTCCAGTGCATGAGTAACTGTTCTAGTCACTGGGATATGACTTAACTAATCTGTGATCAACAATGTAGCATTCAATCTGCTTATCTCTTGCTCATCACTACTTTGTCTATTCCCTACATTTCCACTATCACCTTTCCATCCCAACAGCTTTTCAAGAGCATGTGAACTGCTATAAAATCTTGTACCTGTTATTCATATTCACAATGCAAAGTTAGAGGAAATAACTATCTTTGAAGTGTCAGAAAACACAGAAAATTCAGATATAGAGGAAGTTTTAGGGAATCTCCCATGCATTCAACTTTCACTTCGGCATCCTTCAATTTGTGTTGGAAGGTCTTTTAGCAAATAGAAAACACATGGTACATAATATCGAGTGATGCCAGTTCATTTGTGTGGATTAACCATTAAAGAAAAACTAAAACTAATGATTCTTAAACAAGTACATAAAAGAGAAGAATGCTTCCATTTTTTATGAAGCCAGCAGTACACCCACACCAGACAAACCTAAACCAGACAAAGACCCACACAAAAATAAAAGTACAGGTCAATATCAAAAGTGAATATCGGTTCAAAAAAATCTCAATAAAGTAAATTTTAAACAACTTCAAGAAAACATCCAAAATAACAATCAAGTTGTCTTCATCTCAGAGAGTCAGAGATATTACAGTGTGCATAAACCAAAAAATATAATCTATCACATTAATAGACTCAAAGACAGAAACTATGTGATCACCACATTATATGTAGTAAAGGCCTTTCTGTATACCCAGTAAATCTTTTCATGATAAAAGTCCTGGATAATCTAGGGATACAGGGCATATATCTCAGCATAATAAAGATAATAACACAGCAAGCTTCCCACCAATTTTATGTTATATGAAGAAAAGCTTGAAATATTTCAAGTAAAATCAGAAAAATAAGACAAGGATTTCCACTTTCTCTACTCCTGTTAAATATAATATTAACTAGAGCCGTTAGACTTGAGAAGATAAAGGAATAAGTGGACTTGATTTTATACATTTAAAAAAATCCTAAAAGCTCTACCTCAAACCTCCTACCTCTGATAAACATATCCAGAAAAGTAGCAGGATACAAATTCACAATAATCTTACTATTTTCCAATGTTTACCCCACTACAAGAACTGTCACACATCCTCCTAAAATCTGTCCGCTCCTAGAGTGCAGAAAAGATAGAAATTGGATGGAGACATAAGATGTGGAGAAATGATGAACTGATGACGAAGACATTTTCTTCAGTCTAAACTGATAAAATTAGCCCAAACTGAACATTAACAATAAGCTTCATATCAAAAAAGAAGTCCACATACACCAGTTCTAGACAGCATATTCAGCTTCCTAAGAGAAGGCTCCCGGTACAAAAGTATTCTTTGACGGGGTACTTTAATTATTTACTCACTTTATTACAGTGAGCTTCACACACTGGAACCAAAGGATTTACAGCTTCAACCTGTGGTAGGATGGTCTAAGATCTGGATATGGGCTAGGATGTGAGGAATGAGTAGATGGTGGCGAGACCTCTGGAATTTTCCAATAGCTTTGGTGAACATTGCATCACCTGCATATCATCATTTCATCTCAATGCAGTTATGAGAAAGAAGCTGTCACTTCAGGGTACTTGAAGGTTGGCAGTGGTCCTTCAGATTAAAATGACTGTGTGGACTGATAAGTCACTGATTTTTCAAGTTAGATGTCTTCTTGAAGAAGATTGTGTTTTTATTTTTATTATGAAACATCTTACTCATGGAAGGGGATTACACATGTAGATATAAAATGCATGTAGATTAAGTATTATCATGATCTGGTAAATGTCATATGTGATAGTTAAGTTGATGATGTCCCCCATAGACTCAGACACTTGAATACTTTGTCCCCAGCTGTTAGAACTGTTTGGGAAGGATTAGGAAGTATGGTCTTGTTGGAAGATGGGTATCACTGGAGGTGGACTTTGAAGTTTCAAAAGCCCACACCATTCCTGGTACCCTCTCTCTGCCCATGGTTGTGGAGCAAAATGTGAGCTTTCAGCTTTTCCTATGCTATGCCATCATGAACTCTAAACCTCTGGAACCATAAGCTGAATCAAATATTTTCTTTTATAAGTTGCCTCAGTGTTTGATCACAGAGTAGAAAAGTAACTAAGACAACATACAAATGTTTATATATGTTATAGATGCATATATAGAGTCTCTCTCTCTCTCTCCATATATATGTGTGTGTGTGTGTGTGTGTGTGTGTGTGTGTGTGTGTGTGTGTGTGTGTGTATCATTATATAATGGCTATTTTAAAATTTTGTCCTCTGTATTGACCGTGGTATCAACAAGGATGCCAGAAAGGTGGCTACTGTTTGTCATTTAGAAGGAAAATGGGAGTTTAGACTAGGTAGTAATGGTGAATGTGTTAACCTTCTGAAAACTAAAAGATGGAGACTGGAACCAGTATGCATGTAGCATATTGAACAAGAAGAGGTATGTTTGAAAAAAAAAGATAGGATATGATACCAGGATAGATTAAGAGTATTAGATTTTTAAGTCAGATTGTACAATAATAAATTTATGTAACACACATATTATGGCATACTCTATATTATGATTGTATTTAGCATCTATACATTATATAAATAAGCATACAAATTCTCCTTTCAAACACACCCAAAAAACTAACCTCTTCTTGCTCATCCTCTTTTGTGCTTATTGGTTCAAGTCTCCCTCTTCTGTTTCACAGTTTAGAGAACGTCTTCACCATTACTACTTAGTCTAAACTTTCATCTTCCTCCTTGATGGCAGACAACAACCTCCTTTCTGATGCTTGGTGAGATTTTTTTTAGACTTCACACAAGATAATATTTTCTTCTGTGTAGTTAGAGAAATCCTCTTAAAATGTTAGTTGAAATTATTCACTTGTATTCTGAGAGATAACCCTACATTTGGCTTTCCTCTTTGGAGCCCAAACAAATGATGTGATCCTACATTCTCCCACATCATGACTTCAGTGTTCCCACCTGCCCATTTTCTCCCTTTTTCAAGGCTTCTTTGTTCTTCTGTGGGAGGCAAGCTCCACTTCTTAGCTCATACAGTGGTCATTCCATGTGTCTGTCTGAAAAAGGTATGGCCTTCCATGCCAGGCCTCTTCCTGACCCTTTCTCTTATCTCCTCTCATATTTATCTAAATTATCACTTCCTTAGTGATGGCTTTCCTGACCTCCATGTTTAAAACTACACTCCTGCTCCTATTGAGCATCTCAGTCATTCAGGAAGACTGAAAGCAGGTCCACCCCACCCACTTTCATTATAGATGCACAGTGCCATTAACAGCCAACTCACAGAGTGCGTTCTACTCTACATACACCATAATTTATGAAGATTTTATTCTTTTGAGAATACTTACTGTGCTCGGTATGCTGACAAACATCTTTAATTCTGGCACTTGGGAGGCAGAAGCAGGCAGATAACTACGAGTTATAATATATATTATGTGTATGTATCTGCAGATGTCTATGGAGGCCAGACAAGATTGTTGGATCCTAGAGCTAGAGTTATAGACTGTGGTGAGCTGCCTATTGTGGATGCTGGGAACAAAACTTGGGTCCCTGGTAAGAGCAACAAGTACTCTTAACCACAGAGCTATCTTTCCAGTCACTGACATCTATTATTAACTAAACTGCTAGACACTTGGATAGACACAGCAAGAGCTAGTAGCCTTGCTGGGGCTAAAACAGGTTTGAAATCATCACTGAAAAAAAACACAGAGCTTATTTGCTTGGTTTTGTTTTTTGTTTTTTCTTTCTTTTGCTTTTGTATTTTGAGACAGGCTTTCTCTGTGTAGTCCTGGCTGTCCTGGAACTAGGTCTATTGACCAGGCTGGCCTTGAACTCAAGAGATCCACTGGCCTTTATCTCCCAAATACTGGGATTAAAGGTTGACTTCCACCACTACCAAGAGAGCACAAAGGTTTTTATCCTTATTGTCCCATACTTCATTGACATCTGCATGGCTGCCACCCACCAGCACACAGATGTGCAGTTTGAGTGACATGAACAGAAGGACCTTTTCTTAGCTAGCAACAGAGCCAACTTTCTCATGAATAATCAAATTTCAAATGCCAGCAAGAGTTTGTGTATCTTATAAAAGAAAACATCAAGTAGAAGAAAGCCCAAATTATTAGAATAGTTATGGAGATGTGGAGTATCTGGACCACCAACAACTGTACCTTGGGTAGCTAACTCTTTCCACCTCTCTTTGTTCTGCTGAATGATGTCCACCAGGTTGTTTTTGAAACTCTTCAGGTCCACAGCTGACAGAGAGTAGTCTGGAGTATAGCTCCCATCACTCATGGGGCATTTCACATTTGACCGCCTCAGGGAGTCAGCAACATGGAACGTGCTACCGTTGACAACCAAAGAAATCAAAAGACAAGAAGGTCAAAATGCCACATGAGACAAGATGCGCTGGAATATGACAATAGTCACCAGGCCCAATTGTAAGCATGTGACAGGTGCTTACCCCCATGTCCACTTTCCCACATGAAGAGGGCCTGGAACTCTCCTTAACACACCCTAGAGAACTTCACTTATTTCTTCTCTCAAGACTCTTTTTCATACAATATATTCTGAATAAGGTTTCATCCCTTCCCACTCCTTCCAATGCGCCCCCCCCCCCCCACACCCCCCCCCCCCCCCTCCCCCCCCCCCCCCCTCCCCCCCCCCCCCCACACACACCTCCCCCCCCATCCACTCCCCCCCCCTCCCCCCCCCCCCCCACACACACCTCCCCCCCCATCCACTCCCCCCCCCTCCCCCCCCCCCCCCCCACACACACACATCTTCCCTCCCATCCAATCCCCACCCTTTCTCTTCTCTGTAATAGTGGATCTTGATCAGAGGCAAGGGGAGTGCACTACAATATAGAGCCACAAGATGGCGATGTTAGCTAATAATTACTTAAGAACTGCAGGCCTACCTTTGAGGAAAGGGCTATTTACTGGGTAAAAGCTCATTAAAATCCTGAAGTCAAAAAATAGGCAAAACAATTGTACCTGCTTGGCCTATAGTTAGAAGACTCTGATTTTGCTGATTCCTCTATAAGAGGAATAACAATTTTCTCTGTTGTGTCTGTCAGGAGAGAAAATGTTGGCTCCACTATGAAATCAATGAAACCTGAAAAAGCAAAATGCAGAGAATGATACATTCAAGTGTTCCAGTTTCCTAATTCCCACAGTAAGTCACAGTGAAGACTCCCTGGGACACACATGGAAAGACAAGCGTTCACTACAGAATCTGCAGAAGCAGCTAACTGCTTTGTATAATAATGTATTCTGTGGTAGAACTGAAAAGTAAGTTTCAGAGCTCAAGCCTGAGGTCTTTCTTATTCCTTATTTCATCCTTTGTGCTGATTTAACTGTCGAGCCAGCTGTAATGAGCAGGACTGTCTTTTCTCCTCAACAAGAGGTCATTACCCTTTGGAATGGACCTCACTTGGTTTAGGTCATGATGTGCCCGAAAGAAATGCTATCTAATTTCTAAAGAAACCAGCTAATTGAAGGTCCCCATGCCTCAGGCCACATTAAGACAGCTACTTTCATTTTATCATTTTTTTCCTTACTGCATCAGAGTGCTCTGTCAATGCACTATTATTTCAAATTGCTGTTTATTATTCTCTGAATGTAAAGCGTTAGTTCCTGGTGTGTGGGCGTGTGCTGTCAAATCGGCAGAGAGAACACTACAATCTCCATCAGACAGCACTAATCCCAACACTTCTAGATGTCAGGATTGAGTGATGACTTAAATTTAAAGTGCTCATCAAGATAGAGAGTGACAGAAAAAAACAAAGCCTTGTCCGTGGTTCTGCATTTGCCTCTTGGTGTTTAGGTAAAGGAGGAGACAATAACTGGTTTTAAGCTTTGGGAATGCAACATCTTGAGGCCCTAAGAGTAACTGGATGCTTCTTGCCTTGAGCCCACCTAGGAACAGAGACTAAAACCTAAATACAAGAAGAGGAGGGTATTGAAGTGACATGTACATACATGCAAATTATCCACTGATTGCTTGACCAAAGTATTGATCTCAATTTTTACAAATGTATTCAGTAATTTTGTATCTTTATTGGTGCTTAATTCAAAATAAAATTAATTGCCTACCCAGAGTTTTAACTTCCTGGCACAGGTAGACTGTCCATTGAGTCAGTTCCTCTACTAACTAATGTGAGAGGAATGTGTATAAGAGACACCAGCCATAGGGAGTCCGTCATTCCCAACTTGATAGATGAGGTCCTGAGTCTATAACATCCACACTTTCTGAACAGCGATAAACACTGGTGATTTACTCACTGATCAGTTTTTAGAGGTTGGCTGGAAGGAGAAAAGTTACAGGCGCAGCTTTGTCACTGCCCTCCAGCTCTGTGATAGGTGGACCAGAGCCTAACTCCAGAGTAGGGATGCTGATTCTTACATTACATTGTTCTTAAAGGAGTATGCCAGCTTTCAGAATACTATCAGATTTTAAACCATGAAGCTTAGAAAACATATGCTTTCATAAATGAAAGAGTTGTAGTTCCCTATACAAATAAGGGTAAATGTGGCTGGAATTAATATAATTTTGCAAATCTCCTGCTGCTGATTTATCTGGTCATGTCTCAAGAACTTTCCCCCTAAAGAATATGAATTTGAATTAAACATATTGTGAAAAGTTAGCAATAACAATAGGAAAGTTAATATTTTCTTTGAATTGCTTGATGTCTAAAGGACTAAATTATAGAAAATAAGCAATATGACAAAACAAAAGAACCAGTCCCTTACACAAAAAGAAAGTCCTTATTTACTAGGATTATAACCAAGAAAAACAACTGTATTGATTAAGAGTGCATTGAGTCAGACATGAGGATAGGGAATAGTTTAGTAACCTGGGGGTCTGCTTGGTTTTTTATGTAAACCCTGTCCAATACTGCACTTGGCAGCCACACTCCTTTACTTGTGTGTTCTATGCACACATACCTTTCTCTATACAATTCTCCTAAAAACCATAGACTTCCACCTCATCCAGCTACATCTATACCCCTGTAAGGACAATGGGATAAGTTTCCCCTCCCCTAAGAACAATCAGACTTAGAAGAGTTTCTATTCAATCAGAACCATCCTAAGACTGGACATGCATGGTAGGAAGATAACCATGTGGTCTAGTCTAGCAATCAAAGCAGAGAACTGTGGCAAGTGTACCCCTAGAAGCTGACCTCTCTTTCCTTTACAACACATAAAGAGACACTAGGCTGTAACCTGGGTCCTTGAGCATCTTCACTTCCGTGGCCTACTGCTCCCATGCAGTGCACTCAGACCTTTTCTGTTGGAGTTCCTTTAAATGAAGTTGCCTTGCTATTCCTGAAAAGTTGTGTGGGCTTTTGTTTCAAGCTCCTTGATTAAGAGGTCAAACACCTAGAAAACCTGACCTTGACCAGCAATAGTAGCTTCGCAGGATTCATTTTGTGAAAATATTTCATTGATTTTCATTCAACATCATCTAGATCAACCAAAAGCCAAACTATATCATGATTACAGAGCGAGGTTGGTCTGGAAGACTTTGAAGAGTGTAGTACACACATTTGAACACCAACAAGTCCCACCCTCTTCAGGGCCACCATTCTTCAGTTATTACCTATTTGAGACTGGGCAACCATCGTGGACTTCCGATCACAGAGTGGAGAAAATGGAAGTCCTAATTCGGCTTCTTTGTCTCCCTGGGTAAATAAAGATGAATTACCAGAATCAAGGTGGAAAATTTAAGGAAATCTGCAGTCTATATAGAGTGAATTCAAGCAACTGTATTTTTCAGTTTTTAAGCAGTAATACGCTGTTTTTAATTATATCATTAAAATATAAGTTTATATAATTTCTCTTGAATACATTTCCTCAGAGGATTTCCTCTAGTGCTAACACATTTCTAAATAATGCTGTAGTGCCATAACCCACTGACTCTAAAGAGACAAATATTTCAGTTTTCAGAAGTCCCCAGGAGCCAATTATCTATTTATTATTATATACCTTCAATTTTTAGATTCCATTCAACAAAGTCTTACGAAGAAAGGTTTTTGCATTTACTGCTTTTTCAAAATGCCTGAGCATTTTGATGCCTCTTTCCACTCATCGACTAAGATTTATTAAATGTCTAGCCACAAATGATGATTTTATTTTATAAGGTTCAAAAATATCATCAATAATTAGTTGTTGAATAAAAATACCCTTAAGGGTTTATATTAAATATAACAATACTAGCATTACTTAAATAGAAATGACATATGTGAAACATGTTATTAAAGATGTTTATTTGGTATTAACAGATACAGTTGATTGACAGTGTAATGCTTGCATTTGGCTGATGTTATTGGTTGAGGAGCTGCAGTTTATAGCTTAAGAATACAACATTAGGATACAATCAGTAGGTCTATTTCTACATTATATGCTTCTTTGGAAAACTAAGATCATTTGGGGCTAAAAAAGCACTAAGACAATGTGCTCTGTATCAATTCCATTTTAAAGACAGCTGATAATAATTTTCTTCTAAGATATAAGACTTTGACACATTCATGCAGACTTGGCCTTCCTGTAGACAGAGTTGAGGGTTTTATGTTGTTTTCTGTTTCCTGTACCTCTCAACTACTCTAGAATATAAAATTTTTATTTCTAAGAGCACAGAATGCTAAGATGCATTAATTATTAAATTTATTTATAAATATTTCACAGTGTTATTTATTTTTGTAATGAACAAAGGCCATAGGTACCAGGTCAGCAGGGAGGCCTCAGCCTGATCATGAAAGAATTGAACAGGGTACTATGGAGTACAGCTAAGGGTGAGTGGTGAGGTATACAAAGGGAAAATGTGTTACCTTAGTGTAAGTTTGACTATCTTTATAAAGTCCTTAATTTCTCCCAGGGCAGGGATGCTTACTTTTTATTTAAGTGAAATCAAGGGTCACAATAGTAGGAATTCTACTTAACAAATACTTTATATTTATCTTGAGAGTTGTACATTCTATTAAAAGTATTATATTTAGAAGACCAAAAATATACTATGTGAATCAATAACTTATTATATAAATGCATTTCCTAGTGTTTTAATAGGCTTATGAAAGTGGTGATAGAAAATACTACACTCAATTAATTAACCAGTGGCTCTCCATGATACTCTGACTGTCAGCATTGGGTTCTAGGGGATGAGCCTACAGGTGCTGACACAAAAGTGGCCCCATCAAAATGCAGCAGGTGAGTCTGATGTCCAACATCTGAGAGCCCTTACCTGTCTCAGCATTTCCTATGCTGCTTGTCAAGGTTTTACCTTTGAAAGGCCATAACAAACAACTAGTAAGTGTTTTTCTGCTGTCCAAACAGAGTTAAAAGGCTCTGACAGCTATCAGTAAGGTGTCAATCTAAAACAGAAACTATGTCTACGGTTTTAAATAGATGGAGGAACTGAAGGAGAATGAAGCTTTGGGAACCTTCTTGCACTGAAATCTGGTCTGAGTCTCTCAAGAGTAGTATCAGTTGACATTCAGAACACTGTCAGGCCCTAAGGATAGGAGGTGAGGAACCACAGGAAGCTCAGATGGAGATGGGGATGGTTCACCTATTCAGCAGTCCCTGAACAACCTGCATAAGGAATGTCCTCCATGTGCCTGCCTTTCTCTACTCCTCCTAAAAATGACCCTCAGAAATTCTCACAAGGTCACCCAAACAGATTGAATGCTTAATGGCAATCTGCCAAATCTACATTCAGATAGATATAGATGTAGAGATAGGTATTTTTTCAAGGGTAAAACCTGGAAGATCAGAAAATCAGAAACAGCCATTAATTGCTTCCCACCTGTCTCCATTTCTCTGTCCCAAAGGGCTGAGCTCCTGTTTCCACTCCATCTTATCACTTCCTGTCTCTACCTCCCCAGTGCTAGACATAAAGGCATGAACCACCACCACACAGCTTCTATGGTTAACTAGTAGTTAGCTCTGCCCTCTGATCTCCAGCCAAGCTTTATTTGTCAAAGCACAAACAAATTATCACACAACATGTACATTTGTACATGTATAGAATGTACTGTGGTTACATTCACCCTTACTTGCAATCAAAGCTCTCCTGACTCCCTGGGATAATTTTTCCTCCCGAGAAGCATGAAGCATCATCATGATCAGGTAAGTAATTGCATCTTGAGACATTACTTTTGATAATTCTGATGTAAGGAAAATATAAAAAATAAAATATTCTACATTTCCTACAGTGTTATTTACTGTTAGATTCTATGACAAAATTCTTAAGTTGTTCAGGGAAAAATGAAAGAATTTTCATCAAAGAAAAAACTTTAAGCCAAAGAAATCATTTGCAATAAAATTTTTTCAACAATGAATTTTGTCATTGGTTGTATTTATGGTAGAATGTTATTGTGCATTTTTATTATAAGTATTTTACCAAACCTTAGGTTTGCTTGTGTAACTGATGTTTATAGTACATTTGTGACTCATGGAACTAGCTTTGATTTTAATATTGTGAGCTATATTTCTTTACCTTCATTTTATTTAGGAAGTTATAACTGTAATTTTCATTGGTGGTATGTCTGGCTGAGAATGGATTAACTGAGAAAACAAAATTTGCTTTGAAATGCCATACTTTATATGACATCTAACAATACTAAAGAAAACAGAGAAACTTGATTATACACAATTTAGAGTTAAGAAAAACCCTCACTTTGTCTTTTCCTTATAGATAACTTACTTTTTAAATAATTTGTTTCTTTCTGAATTTTAAGACAATATTGCTTAGCTGATGTTGATTTTTCCTAAATTGAGATTGTTTCTATGCAGCATAAAATAATGAGTTGAAAAAAGAAAATAATATATTTATTGTGTGCATAGTGAAAAATTAATGGAAGTAGTTATTTTTTATTTAGAGAATACTATATTAGTTTTTGTAATCAAACCCCCTTAGATAAGACCTTACATATTTGTACAGTGCGTTACCCCTGTACAAATGGAAAAAAAATTAAGTTCAACATTTCTAGACCAATATGGCTGTTAATTTCTGTACAATGCCAACTCAACACAGTAAACTGGGATACTTTTTCCAAAGTTGACAGCACAGATAAGTTTCCAACAATTCAAATTGTTATGCATCAATATATGTTATGCATCAAAGCAGCAACAGCTTTTCCAGGCTCTGCAGTCATTTGAACAAAATTGTAGAGACATACAGCACACTCAATTAAGAAAACAAAAACAAAAACAAAAACAAAAACACAACAAAAAAAGTAAAAAAACCAAAATCCCAGAAACCAGCATAGTTCTGTTACTCTTGTGGTACCTGGCACCATTTTTT